CAATATTTATGTGTTCCATTTCCTTTCTGACAATGTCTAATTTTCCTTGATTCATAGTTCGTACATTCCATGTTCTGATTATTAATGGATGTTTACAGCTGTTTCTCTTCATTTTGACTTGTGCCCCATCAGCAAATGAAGGTCCCAAGGACTTTACTCCATTCGCATCATCATGGTCAACTCTACTTTGAGGAGGCAGCTCTTCCCCAGTCTCATATTGAATGCCTTCCAACCTGAAGGGCTCATTTTCCGGCACTATACCTGACAGTGTTTCACTGTTATTCAAAAGATTTTCAGTAACTAAATATTTGGAAATAGTTCCTCTCTTCTTCTTCCTACTCTGTCTTCCACTGGAAGCTCATCTGAAACCTGTCCACTGTGGGTGGCCCTGCTGGCATTTGAAATACCTGTGGCATAGCTTTCAGAATCCCAGCAACACACACATACCACCATAGTACGACAAACTGATTAAAGCAACTTAGACATTGGCTAGCTAAAACGGGGGCGGGGGTGGGCACATAAAGGCAGAAAGTGACTGGCTTACAAGTTTATAAGTTTCAGAGTGAAGTGGGGGAAGGTAGAACCCCCACTAAATAGTTTTCATCTTTCCCTTAATCAAAGAGTTTCACAGTGTAGTAACCCCGGGTCCATAGGGTGTACCTACTCTTGGCTCTTCTATCTTGAATGGTTGTAGGTTCCTCTGAGCTCTGTTCACTTCTCTCTCCTATTATATCTCAAAAGAGATAGAGTCAAGATACAACCTAATCCTGTAGATTGCATCTGGCCTCATTAACTTCATAAACATAAGAATTTACAACACATAGGATTATTACATTAGCTCAGAGCTGATGACATCAGACCTCATCATGAAGGTGATAACTGCATCCTAACTGCCAAACCACTAAGAATCCTGGCCAGACCACATTGACATAAAGCCTTAATTATCACAGAAGTTTCTTCCTTATGTCTAGTCAAAGGTCTGCCTCCCTTTACTTATCACGTACTGATCCTAGCTCTAACTGATCTTTGAGGCCACACCCAACAAATAAACCTATAGAACAGCTTTTAAAATCCATTTTTATCCTGCCCAAGTTGCTTGTTTTCTGGGTTGAACTCGGTGCTTCTAGCCAGTCTTCGTTCAGTTGGTTTCTGTTTTCCGCTTGACCCTGATGCTAACCCTTAGATAGACTACAGTTTGACATAATCTCCTTTCTAGTGTGTTTCCTGGAGGGTAGCACAATATAGTGCATGGCCAAACTAACACTGCTATCATGTACCTGGATTCTCTCTCCTAATGCAACCTAGAATCACATTAGCTTATTTGCCATCTATTATTATATCATGACTCCTGTTGTGCTTATCACCAACCAAAACCATAAGTGGTGCTTTGGTTTTTTTCTACCCAACATGCATGTGGTTGCTAAGCCGCATTTTGCACATCCTGTATTTGTTATTGGACTTTAGATCTACAGATACCAGTTTCTTTTGAGCAGTTTTCTTAGCAATATTCGGCTTTAAAAATGGGTGATTTCATCTTTATACACACATAAAAAAGCCTATTTATAGTGTTGGAAATAACTTGACCATCCATAGCAAGTAAGCAACAAAGTGGTTTCTTGAGTGATGGGGAGGAACTTTCCACCCGTTTCTGATCCTTCTCTCTCAGCAATATATGAGATTCAGCAGGAAGGGTGTAGTCTTTAAATGACTTTGATACATTGGAAGAAACTAGAAAATAGCCATAGTGTTTGTATAAATAATTGCATTTATTGATTTCTGGAATGTTAGAGCTACAAAGGAACTGAGAGATATTTTAGTTCACACCTACCACGCCCCTCCCTTTTTAAAAAACATTTGGAAACTAAATACCTGGACAAATAAAGAAAAAATTGTCAAAAGTTATTGAGGAGACAAGGGTTAGAGGCAGGTTTAGAACGACGGCTCCTGGCATGCATAGAGACTAACTTACTAGGCTTTGCCTGAATATCAAGAGACATTTGCTGCTCGTACTAAGACACATCATAGATCACTGTTTAGGAAGCAATGAGTGTCTATTTCTGGTGAGCGGAAATTTGACAACAATTATGGGTGAGGGAGAAGACTTGGTGAGGCAATGACTGAGTGCTCGGCTGCTGTCTGAAATGTTGGTGGTTCAAACCCACTCAGTAGCTCCATAGAAGAGACACCTGGTGATCTCCTCCCATAAAGATTATAGCAAAAAAATTCCATGGGGCAGTTCTACTTTGTCACATGGGGTTACTTTTGAGTCAGAGTCAACTTGACAGCCCCGAGTAACATGGGTGATCGTTGCACAACTTGATTGTGTAATTGGTATCACTAAATTGTACACCTGAAAAATGTCAAATTGTCAAATGCTTTAGATAAGTCCTGGTGAAGCGCTGTAGAGTAAGTAAATACTGGACTGCTAACCACAGAATTGTTGTTTAGTGCCATCGAATCAGTTCTGAATCATAGCCACCCTATGTAGGGTTTCCAAGGAGGAGCTGGTGAGTTTGAACCTCTGACCTTGCAGTTCAAACTGACCTTGTGGTCCAGTGCTGTATCCTACAGTGCCACACCAGGACTCCAACCACAGAGTAGGTGGTTCAAACTCACTAGATGTTCCTTGAAAACTCTCTAGGTCGCTATGAGTTAGAACTGACTTAGCAGCACTTAACAACATCAATATTATATGTTTTATAATAACAATAAAAATATGGTATCTTTTTTTGCATTTTTTTTTTTTCTGTCTTTATGAGTTTAATTGTCCCAGAGCTAGATGGTGGTGGTGGTGGTGGTGGTGTGCTTTTGAGTCAGTTCTGACTCATAACGACCCTGTATAGGGTTTCCAAGCCTGTAAATCTTTACGGGAGCAGAAAGCCTCATCTTTCTCCCACGAAAAAGCTGGTAGTTTTGAATTGCAGCCCAATTCATAACCAGTACGTTACCAGAACTCCTTCCAGAGCTAGATGGCACCCTGGAGTTCCTCCAGCATGTGAGTAAATGAAGCCCTCTTAGATTTTTAGGCAAGTATCTCTAGGCATGGAATCCTGGCTTGGTGCTGTGGGTTAATGCATTGGACTGCATAGTCTGTTTGAATCTAAAAGTTGGTGGTTCAAGCTCACCAGCTGCTCCTCAGAAACCCTATACAGGGTTGCTATGGGTCGGAACCAGCTCAACAGCATTTATCAACAACACCAGCAGCATCATTGGCATGATTCTCCCTGGGGCCTCATGGCTCTTCACTAACTCTCTCTGAGGCAGTTTCCTTAGGAGATTGCTCGGAGTCCTTCCTCCATCACAAGTGGAGGAAGACAGATTAGCCCAGGGTCCCACAGATACCAGGGGAGGGCCAGTTCTTAGAAGAGTCCCCCAGGAACTATGGAGGGTACTTGAATATCAGGACATGATGGGGTACTGTGGGTGGGAGCCAGGCACCTCTCTCCACACCTGGTATCTGAGTCAGCACATCACACTGAGAGCAGGCACTCACCTGTGTGTGGAGGAGAGGGTTCCTTAGTGCTATGTCAGTCTGCGCAGTATCAGAAAGATGAGCATTTAAAAAAAAATTTTTTTCACTTCATTGCAGACTCTTGGAGGACAAGAACTTGACTCTTTTCAGTATTATACTCCCTCATAGCACCTGCCTGTATTTAGTAAACATTTCCAGATTCAGAGAGGTGGGAGACACATATGTCTTCTGTTTGGGCTTCACGACGACCTCGGTGTAGCTGGGCCCATCACTTCATCTGTATGGGTGCTGATTACCTGTCTGTGAAATGAGGGCTTTGGAGGGACCTGCTCTAGCACAGGTTTCTCAGATCCTAGCCTGGTTTGGAGAGTTCTGTATGACTCTGGAGCCGTGGTAGCATAGTGGTTATGAGTTGGGCTGCTAACCTCAATGTCATCAGTTCGAAACTACCAGCTGTTCTGTGGGAGAAAGGTGAGGCTTTCTGCTCCTGTAAATATTGACAGCCTCAGAAAGCCTAGCAGAGTCACTATGAATCAGAACCGACTCCAGGCACACTACCACCACCACATGACTCTCAAAATGATTCCTTGTTGTGTGTCTTAGGGCAGTCATGGTTTTCTCTTTTCGGGAGTAGACAATTGAGTAAGCCTACCTCAGGCACACCACCTTCACCACCCCTTCTCCAAGACACAACAGGAAGGGTCTCTTCTTTCATCATCTTAAGAACATAGCCAGTCAGTAAGAGGGAAACGGAAGGAAAGTGGAGGGAAACATTGAGACGAGGGTCAGCGAGAGCACCACTCAACACTCCTGGTCTTCCTCTGAGCGGCTTTCAGCGGCCATTTCTTAGGACTCAGGTTGGCTGGAAGACAAGATTCCTAGGGTCAGGGGTTTAGAGTCACTGGGCCTCCAAACAGTGTAGGAGAGGCCTGAGGTCATGTCAGAGAGGAGGAGAAAGTCATTGGTGGTTCTAGGACCTGGCAAGAGTTTAGCCTAGCAGAATTGGGTGATCCAAAGATAGTTTCTTCAATTCAACAAGGTTTTATAGTGAGTGCAGAGGAGAAAGAGGATACACTGAAGAATATTCTGTCCTCTGAAACCTACTATTGGGAGGGTATATGTAAAATCTAACCACTGTTCATGGTCCAAGAAATGAACTCAGCAGAAGGAACAGTTAATCCCAGCCTATAGCATTGGGAAGGCTTTCTGGATGTGCTCATCTGTGTCTTCTACCATCTTCCCAAGCATCCCTCACCTCTGCTGTGTCCAGGTGTGCTGTGGCAAATTTAAACATGTGCTTCTGTCTGGGAAGGTTGGGAGATAGAAGCCGTGAGCTCAGCCCGCCCATGTGTACTTTGTACCTATTCCATTGCCCCCGGTAGCAGGCATTCTCACTGTACTTAATCCATGGTGCAGCTGTCACTGTGAGCAACTGTGACAATGGCTGCTCCAGCCCCAGAGCCCACCCAAGACCTGGAGCTAAGGACCCCAGCAGCTGACGGCCTTAACACTGACCCTGTCCCCGCAGCTACCATGTCCACGCAGCGGCTTCGGAACGAGGACTATCATGACTACAGCTCCACTGATGTGAGCCCAGAGGAGAGCCCATCTGAAGGCCTGAGCAACTTTTCCCCAGGCTCCTACCAGCGATTTGGGGACAGCAACGGCACAACGTGAGTCACTGTTAACTTTCTACCATCCTGGGGAGACGGCATGTCCTGAAGCTCTGAATTAGTAATGCAGCCTCTCTTAGAGTTCTTTTTTCCCTCCTGTTCTCCATTTTAAAGTAAGATATGAAGAGATTGGTAAAGTGACAGTGCTGAGATTTATTTGACCTCCTTGACCCCCATTCTCTTGTCTGTTTCTTATATTCTGTTGGTTCTAGAAGGCTGGTACTGAGGAAAAGCTTCCAGAGTAGACTGTCTCTTAATTTAGAACTGTGAGATGGAATAAGCCGGAACACAAACACCCTCATGTAAGGCTTTATTGGAGGTTGGAAGGAAAGAGAGAAAAGTATTGCCGGGGAAGGATTTTTATACTAGTCGAAGAGGAGGGAGGGGTTGAGCTTAGTGGAGGTAGGTGATAGGTTGACTAGGGATGATGTGCTGGTAGGGGGTAGGAAGAGAAGTTCCCGTAGGGAAAGCGAAAGCACGGCAAGCAGCCATTTTATTATGCATGTGGATGAGGGATTCTATCAAGAACTACCTTCTAGAATCTCAAAGACCATGCCTAATTGGATGTCTCTATTGCAAAGTCTGGAGTCCTCGTGTGGTGCTGTAGGATAAGCACTAGACTGCTAACCAAAAGGTCGGTGGTTCAAACCCACCAGCCACTCCTCAGAAACGCTATACAGGATTGATATAAGTTGGAACTAACTCAATGGCACTTAAAAACAGCAGCAGCATTGCAAAGTCTGCCGCAGGCTCTGTCCTTGTCACCACACAACAAGTTCACATGGCTGCAGAAGTGGAGAGAAAGAGGAAGCACTCCTGCACTTAGAAGAGTCAAGAGCTTTTACATTGCCCCCATAGGAAGGGCTTACATCTTGTCCCTGACAACTGAATCCCAAGACACAGCTGGGCTGTTTAGGCCTCTCTGGACTTCAACTTCATGCTATCCTTCACCCACTCCACCCCCAGCCTCCGGAGACCCCAGAAATGCTCTCGGGACCCCAGTTTCTCATTCTTGCATTCCTTTCATTCATTCCTCAAGCTTAGCTGTCAACCCTCCTATGTGTCCGTATGTGTGGGTGTGGCTTACTGAGAGACCCTTTATGTCCTAGACATATGCCGTCCTCTTGGGCTGCTCACGGGGGACATGGATGTCTCTTGGAGCACATCACTGCTGAAGCTCCCTCTGGCTCCAGTCTCCCCTTGTGCAGGACATTGCTGACCCCTCTCCACCATTTGCTCATTTCTGCTAACAAAGATTCAGATGTTATGTGGCATGCTTTTGTAGAATATGCGTTTGCTTGCAGTTGCACTGATGGGAAGGATTGCTGAAGGCACAGTTGTCAAAGTGAAGAGTGTCCTTCCTCTTTTCTCCTTAACCAGACCGCCCTCAGTTAGCAGGAGCTCCAGATGTAACTGTGAGAGGTTCCATGTAAACGCCACACACATTATTGTGAAATACTTTTGCTTTGCTCCTTCTCCTTCTCAGGCATCAACTTGTCTATGCCAGCTTGCTGTGTAGCATCTGAAATTTCATTTTTATGTTTGATCCTCTCTGAAGCTCAAAACAGGCCAGTCAGCAACTTTAGGAAGCTGATGTATGCCTGTAGCTTTCCAATTTTTTAACCCACACATTGGGTGATACCAAACACCAAAGCCATTGCCTCTGAGTTGATTGAGTCAGAGCAACTCTGCTCAGAACAGAGTAGAACTTCTTCCTAGAGTTTTCAAGACTGTAAATCTTTATGGAAGCAGACTGCCTTATTTTTCTGCCACAGGGCGACTGGTGGATGCAGACCACCAACCATTTGATTAGCAGCCCAACGCTTAACCCATTGTACCAGCAGAGCTCCTTCCCATTGGGTGATAGCTTGCAAAAAAACACAAAACTCGACCTCTTGCCAACAAGTTCATTCTTACCCATGGCAACCCCATGTGTTACAGAGTAGAACTGTACCACAAGGTTTCCTTGTTAGGCACCAGTGGGTGGGTTCGAACTGCTAATCTTTAGATTAGTAGTCACGCACCAACCAGGGATTTAGTAAAAAGTATATCCTCTCTGAAGTCCCTGGGTGGAGAAGCAGTTTATGCTGGACTGCTAGCCTAAAGGTCAGCAGTTTTTAACCTACCCATTAACATCACAAAAGAAAGACCAGGCAATCTGTTTCCACAAAGATTGTTGTTGTTAATTGTCATCGAGTCAGTTCCAACTCATAGCAACCCGTATAAGGTTTCCGAGAAGTGACTAGTGGACTTGAGCCACTGAGCTTGTAGTTCAAACCATCCTATTATCTAGTGCTTATCCCAGGTACCACACAAAGACTCCGTGAAGATCATAGCCAAGAAGAACCCTGTGTAGGGGCAGCTCTACTCCAACACATGGGGTTGCTATGAGTTGGAATCGACTTAATAACTACAGGCTTAGTTGTGTTGTTGTTGTTGAAAACAGAGCAAGACTGACGAAAGGATACCTTCCTTGGGCCTGTGTTGGGAATTGAGACATTTTCCAGGATATATTCTAAGGATCCCTGGTGGCACAGTGGTTAAGCTATTGGCTGCTAACTGGAAGATCAACAGTTTGAACCCACCTGCAAACCTTTGGGAAAAGATGCGGCAGTCTGCCTCCGTAAAGATTCACAGCCTTGGAAACCCAGTGGTGCAGTTCTACTCTGTCCCACAGGGCCGCTGTCAATTGGAATCCATTCAGTGGCAGTGACATTTGCTTGGTTTGTTTCATGTACTTTATTCTGAGGACATTTTCCACCCTGCTATTATAGTCCTGGAACCCTGGTATGGCGCTGTGGGTTAATGCGCCAGACTGCAAAGTGGTATGGTTATGTGCTGCGGAGTTGGTTCCGACTCATAGCGACCCTGTACGGAGTTTCCAAGGCTGTAAATCTTTATGGGAGTAGAAAGCCTCATCTTTCTCCTGCGGAACAACTGGTAGTTTCCAATTGCTGACCTTAAGGTTC